ACTTGACCTAGTCGACCTATTGTCGTAAGCAAAGGGGAGAAAGAGAGAGAGAAAGAGAGAGAGAGAAATACCATTATATCGATACCATGTACACGTAGAGATCCATTATTTGATGTCCTTCTTCGACTCTATGGGTCACATCGTCGTGTGCATCCTCCTCTTTTATTACAAATTTTCTACAATAAGATTGAACGTTATAAGAGATATAATAGATAGGTAAGTAAGTATATACGTCGATTGTGCGTGATTTATCGATTTGAAGAAAGGATGGTTTAATATTGAAAAAAGAAAAAAAAAAAAAGAAAAGGAAATTTGTAAATCGTTGTAACACAACGATCCATTCACTGGAGTACCCATTATCATTATTTCTCAAATTAATTTAATAAATTAGATCGTACGATCGAACGATCCCTCTGGCATTCATACGATTGTTCAAATGATTACAATATTGATATTAATTGGAATATATTTACGTTAAGTGGATACGATTCTTTTCTGGTAAAAAATTTATTATAGATAAATTAGATATTATACTTAAATTCATTATTTATCGAATTATTTTAATAAATCGTATTAAAAGATTCCACGAAGAGTTCTCTATTTTGTCTTTAAAATTACTATCAATGATTGTGAATATGAAATTCAACGCGTAAATATATTTATATTAAATAAACATAAGATTTGCCTGTTTGTGTGTTTGTTTTTCTTTTTTGTGATCGATGACAAATAAGCAAGAACGCAAGAAAGAACAAGTTGGACGTGAATTAAAATGAAACAGGAAAAAAAGAAGGAATTTCCTAGAATTACTCTAAATCAATAATAATAATAATAATAATAATAATAATAATAATAATAATAATAATAATAATAATAATAATAATAATAATAATAATAATAATAATAATAATACGAGATTAATCAACAAGGTATTCAATTTATTTACGATCTATCTAATCTATAAATATTATCATTTTCGTTGCGTAAATTATTCCCATCGTTAAAAACTCAAACAATAACTTATGCCACGGATTTTGATCTATATCCATGAAACAAACGTTCCGTCCATTCTCATAAATTTACAAGAGTAATATCCAGAGACGCAAGATTTGTACGCATTTGTATATGTAGATAGGTAGATAGGTACTTACTTAGATAGCTATAGTCGAGCGATTAGGTACTCGCTCGGTAAACTTTACGTTTCATTGGTCGGGCACGGTGTCCATCATTTAAAGAGAGTCGCGTTGGCCCGCGAGAAAGGAGATGAAGGAGAACGAGGACGAGGACGAGGATGAGGATGAGGATGAGTAGGATGAGTAGGATGAGGTGGAGGAGGAGGGGAAGAGAGAGAGAGAGAGAGAGAGAGAAGAGGTGAACGCGCGATGCCTTCAAAGACAAACGAGCCGTAGGGACGATATCGGATAATTTTCAGGGATTCCACGGTAAACTGCCGAAATGATGGATCGTCCTGCGGAGAGCGAGGTTCGAACCACAGGGATCGGTAATGTGTGAAATTTTTGAAAGCCCACGGTAAGCGCGATCTCGCGCTCGACCGTGCGTGCAGGTTAGGTACACACGTTGCTCAAACAATTTATGGTTCCCTCCTGGCCTCCTCCTCCTCCTCCACCACCTCCTCCACCACCTCCTCCTCTAGTACCACCTCCTACCTCACAGATATACATACACACACACACATACACACTCTCTCTCTCTCTCTTTCTCTTTCTCTCTTGCTCTTCTGTGCGCATTCTATCTCTTTGCGTTCGTCCTTCCCCTTCTCTCTCTCTCTCTCTCTCTTTCTCCCTTCCTTTCTCTCCTCTCTCTCTCTCTCTCTCTCTCTCTCTCTTTGTCTTTCTCTCTCTCTCTCTCTCTCTTCGTCTCTCGAAATCGCGTCAGCATTTAGCCAGCAGTATATTAGGCGAAATACAGGCGGATACCTATCCTCTCACGGACCATTACTGTTACCTTTGATCATCGGATGACCGGAGAATGGTTAACGCTGCGTCATCAGAGCATGAATTTCTCTCTATCTACCGCGATATAATTTACAATCCGCGACGTCCCGAACGTTTCCTCTATGTACTTTCTCTCGAATCATCATCCGATCCTTTTATTTCTTTCGTAGATTTAAATATACATATATATATATATATATATATATATTTATTTATTTATTTATTTATTTATTTATTTATACATATTTAATATGTAACATATTCATGCTTTGTTTATTTCATTATATAATAAACAATTCACCATTCATTATCCATGTAGTGTATATATAGAAAAAAAAAAAAGAAGAAAAACAAAAAAGAATAAAGAACAAACGAATAAAACAAAAAACGAAAAAACCTATAAACTCTCGAACCTGAGAGTTGCGTCATGTCAATGATTATTATTATTAATTTGTATTACTATTAAATAGAAAAATGTAAAAAGGATGTCTTTATCAAAGGATACTAAACTAACAAGTATTATATTTATTTCGAATAAGAGAAGCGAAAGCAATTTTTTTTTTTTTCTTTTTTTTCTTTCTTTCTTTCAATTTCTTTTATGTTTTTTCTTTTTTTCTTTCTTTCTTTCTTTTTTTTTTTTCGTTTCTTTCCCTTCCTCTCGTTTTTTCTATGTTTTTTTTTTCTTTCTCTTTTTTTTTTTTCTTTCCTCTCTCTTTTTTCTTTTCCATTTTTTTCTCTTTTCTATTATTAAATCTTCTCTCGGTAAAGGTAAAGAGATTCTCTTCTTGATGCGTTTCGTTTAAGTTCGTCGATTCTCGAGAACACCGGCCGCCTGTTGCACGTTGGCGGCATCAAGTCTGACGTCACTTCCACCACCGACCGTCTCGCCGTGGTGTAGGGCTCGTTCGAGTGGGGGTAGGCGGGGGCAATGGTTAAGAGCATGGGGCGTTGATGGCGGTGGTGGGGCAAAAAGGGGGGAACATAACGCTCGGAGGGCGTGCTTGACAAAGGCGTGGTTACCTTGTCCCCACCCAACAATAAACAAGCGACTCTACCGTTAATTTGTTTGTTTTGCCCTTCCACCTTCCACTTCCTTTCCTCTCTTTTCTCTTTACCACACTCTCCCTCTCTCTCCCACTCTCTCTTTTCTCTCTCTCTCTCTCTCTCTCTCTCTCTCTCTCTCTCTCTCTCTCTCTCTCTCTCTCTCTCTTTCTGTCTCTTTCTCTCTGTCTCTCTAGTTTCTCCTTTCTACTTACTCGCGTGCCCTCTTCTACTTACTTTACTTTACTTATTTATTCTCTTGTTTCTCTCACCTTTTATAATTCGAGTTAATTCATGAGAAAAGGAAAAAAAAATTCAAGGATTCTTCATTGTTCTCGACTTATTACTGGTCACATGTCATTCGATTAGATCGTATAAATCATAAAAATTCATTTAGCTTTACGATCGTGATAATTTAAATCAAAAGATATTTCTTATTGCTATGTCTAAATGATCTTTAATAAATTATTATTTATCATAGTTTAAATCGTCTCATCTTTTTTATGTAGTTGACAAAAGAAAAAGAAAAATAGAAAATATTTCTTTATTTATTTATTTATTTTCTAATTTTTTTTCTTTTTTTTTTCATTTTCTTTTTTTTTTTTTTTTTCTTTTTTCCTTCTAATAAATCGCGTCTTGATCATAATCGAACGCATAATATTGCATTCATTCATGGTTATATGACCATAACGAGATATGATTGAATCAATCAGATGAAAGGAAAGAAAAAAAAAAAATAGAAAAGAAACGAAAAAAAAAAAACGAAAAAAGTAGACACGTAAATTTTTATTTACTTATATACAAGTAAATTTTATCTTCAATTGGAAAGAAAATTTTTCATATATATATATATATATATATATATATATATACATATATATATATATATATATATATATATATATATATCCACCGTGTCTGATGACATAATTGTCACGACATACATTATCAAATATCCGTGGACACGTGATCATCTAATCATATAGAGTTATGTAGTTGAAATATCAGAAAGCAAAAAGAGCGGGTATTTTATTTTAGATTGGAAAGAAAGAAAGAAAAAAAAAAAGAAAAGAAAAAAAAAGTACAGAAGAAAAAAGAACAAAAACAAGAGCCTATAACGATAAGAAATTAAATTGGTGACGCACATGTGAGGGTGGTTAGATAATATTAGTACAGTGACAATTGCGCAAAGTAAAATTCCAGGTTATATTCGTAAAAATGCAAATAGTATTATCAGTGTACTACGCCGAATGACGTATGTGTATATATATATATATATACATATATATATATATATATATATATATATATGCGCCAGGGTTGGCAAACAATCGTTTTCTTTATCCTTTTTTTTTCCCCTCTTCTTTGTTCTTTCCTCTTTTTTCTTTTCCTCTTTCTTTTTTTTTCTTCTTCTTCTTTCTCTTCTTCTTTTTCTTCTTTTTGTTTACGATCTTTTAAAAAGAAGTAAAGAGAAAAACTCTTATTGACTTGTTCGCGATACTAGCGATCATTCGACGTTTGTTCAAGTGTGATAAAACAATCAGGTGGCGAATAGAGGAAGAACGAGCCGATAACAGAAGAGACGGTTCGTTAAAAATGAATTTCACGTACGTGACTTATTAAATAGTCTTTCGGTAGATCTTATCTATTATATTTTAGGAATTATCGTTCGATTACCGCGTATGTTTCGTGTTTACAAATGTTACGAAATAATTTTAATAGACGTTGGAATCGACTTCTCTTTTTTTTTTCTTTCCCCTTCTCTCGTTCTCTTTCCTTTTCTGTCTATTTCTTTTTCTTTTTTCTTTTTTTCTTTTTCTTTTTTCTTTTTTTTTTCCCCTATCGACAAGTGTTTAAAGTTATGACTTCATTCTCACATTCGTAATTAAAAAGTCAAAGTACTATTTTATGTAATATCGTTGATCGTTCTCTTTCTCTCTCTCTCTCTCTCTCTCTCTCTCTTTCTCTATTTATCTCTATCTCTCTCTTTTCGCATATCGGATCCAGGCTACACAGAAAATTGGTTGGAATCGATCTTAAGAGCCCTGCCCGAGTGCCGGAGGGATGCTCGGAAGCGGGGAACGACTTGACCTTGGCTGGATTCACGCGTAGCTGAGCTAACGCAAAATCGAAACGCGTTACTTCCACCGCGTGGATCCTCCTAAAGCCGAGTTCACATCGTTTCTCGAGACTCGACTCGAATCATCCTAATCGCTTTCCTAATCTCGACAGCGAGAAGGACAGCTTTCTTCAATTTTATCCTTCGATGATTCGATACGTAAGTACTTACCTATCTACCTATATTACCAAACATATTTATGTATTTTTTAATTATAACCATTATTTTTTCTTTTTTTCTTTTTTTCTTTTTTTCTTTTTTTCTTTTTTTTGTTTTTCTTTCCTTTGAAACAAGCATCTCCTTCATGTAACAATGTAAGAATCCATCGTGTATAGACCGAACCATTTTGAGATAAATCTATTGATAATAATAGATATATACATACGGATAAAAGATATAATTCGCTTGGGTTACTCGATAATTTCGATAACAAGTTCGAACGTTAATTACATTATCGGAATGTAAACGAAATTAACTATGTAATTAGACGAAATCTACTTCGTTTTGTTCAAAATATCTATATCAATGTTTGATAAATAGTTCGATGGATAAATTGTGAAAATATTTTTAATTAATCCGAAGAAAAAAAAATATATATATATATATATTTATATATTTATATATTTATATATTTATATATCAAATAGACGTAAAAATTTTTAATATCGATCAATTATTTGCCTATACCATTCACCTAACAACCTAGAAATTAAATACCTATGTATCTTTTTTTTTTCTTTTTCTTTTTTTCTTTTTAAAATTATTCCTCTTCTAATTCTAAACAACGCTTAAGATAAGTTCTCTGTTAATTCATTAGAAAATGTTCGTGTGAAACGAGCTTGCTTCGAGCAACGAATGAGGGACCGAGAAAACGTAGACGCACGCACTACCGACAGGGGTGGATGCAACGACATCCCCACCTCCGTCGGTCCATCCATGATAGGGTGAGATAGAAAGAGTGAGTGAGATAAACTCTGTGTATGTGTGTGTACGTGTACGTATGTGTATTTGTAAGAGAGAAAGAAAGAAAGAAAGAAGGAAAGAGAGAGAGAGAGAGAGATACATAGATCCAACGGGGTGGTGGAAAAGAGGGTGAGTCACCCGACGCGCTCGCGGACTACTCTGGCGTGCATAACACCCACGGCCGAGGCACGCGTGACTAGATACTGTTTTGCACAAAGGGGACAAACGCCAATTATATTTTAATATCCTACGAGGCCGACGCACGTCGGGCGCCTTTCGAAAGCGTTGACGAAAATTCCTCAGCGCTTTCAACCCAACAAACCAACGAACCAACCATCCAACCAACCAACCACCTATTCATCCATCCATCCATCCATCCATCCATCCATCCATCCATCCATCCATCCATCCGCCCATCAACCACCCACCATGTATATCTTCCCCTCTTTAACCATATTTTCTTTTTTTTTTCTTTTTTTTCTTTTCTTTTTTTTTATTTGGTTTTTTCCTTTTTTTCAAGGTCCAATCCGTACTATCTAACTTAATACCGTATTAACGATAGTTTTGAAAAAAAAAAAAAGGATAATTAAAACGATCGACCATTTGATGCGAATCAAGTTATTCTATCTGATATACGATTTAATATTTTGGACGTATGAACGTAGAAGAAGAGAAAGAAGAGGAGAAGAAGGAAGAAGAAGAAGGAAAAGAGAAAAAGAGAAAAGAAAATGAACAAATAGAAAAAAGAAGAAAAGAAATGATCGGACCACTCGAAACTTCGATTTTTTTCTTCCTTTTTTTTTTTACCCTCCCTTTTACTTTTTTTCTTTTTTTTTAATCCGGCGGCGGGCAGGTAGATAGATAGGTAGGTAGGTAGGTAGATAGGTAGGTAGGTAGGTGGATATCTTGCCTAACTTATCTACCTACCTACCACTTTTAGCTTTTCCCGTCGAATCTCGTGGGACACGCGAATTAACATAAACCCACGGACCGCTTGATATATTTATAAATCTGTATACGTGATGGCACGATTCTTTTCCTTCCTTGTATTCTTTCTTTCTTCTTTTATCTCTCTCTCTCTCTCTCTCTCTCTCTCTCTCTCTCTCTCTACCTCTCTCTCTTTCTCTATTTTCTTCTCTTTTACATATAAACCTTCATTTTTAGAGATCAACGAATAACGAATAAAAGATTAATTTACGTGTCGAATAATTGAAAATACGATGGATCGAATGATTTCGTATAAAAAAAAATAAAAAAATATTGCAAATACGTATTTAAAGTCATGAGCGAGAGAGATAGATGGAAAGAGAGAAAGAGAGAGAGAGAGAGAGAAAGAGAAAAAAGAGCAAGAGAAAGATAAAAGTAGATAGATAAACAGTAATAAGAGAACGAATTTAAGATATGCGGTTTTCGAATGAACCCGTAGAGAACCGAAAAGGAATCGATGCGAAGTATTACACCGTTATCTGTGTTCGGCGATCGGCCGGACGGCCGAGTCGCGTCTGGCGCGAATTCACAGCGTGGGTAGCCTTTTTCGTTCGGCGACGGTGGCGGTGGCGGCGGCGGCGACGGCGGCGGCGGTGGTGGTGGTGGCGGCGGCGGCGGCATCGGCGGCGGCGGCAGTGACGGCGGTGGCAACGGTGGTGGCGGTGGTGATGTTGACGGTAGTGATGGTAATGATAGTGGTAGTGGTGATGGTGGCGGCGACGGCGAGAGCACATACAGACACAACACACATACACACACACACACACACAGGGAGAGAAAGACAGAATTATGTGATAGTGATAATATGTACACATGGTAGCACGCATATATATATATATATCCGTGAATACGTATTCGTACGTTAATATATGAATATCCAATGTGTATGTATATGTGTGTTGTGCGCATGTGTATTGTGCGCACGTGTGTGTACTATTACGATAAGAGAGAGAGAGAGAGAGAGTGAGAGAGAAAGAGAGAGAGAGAGAGAGAGAGGGAGTGAGAGAGAGAAAGAGAGAAAGAGAGAAGAGTCGCGCGCGTCATGTTAATGCGCATGCGCGAGTCGTGCACAGCACGCGCCCTCCGATGTGCCTTCCGCACGGTCGAGCATCTCCACCATTCAGAATCGATGATGTCACGAAGCGGAGGCAGTATCCCCCACCAAGGGTATCTAACCGCATCTAGTGGGGGTAACCCAGGGAGTTTCTTATTGGTCGAGGTTAAGCGATGTAGCCGCGGCTCTAGCTGTTAGCCACGACCCAACGAGAGTTCGCCAAGTCGCACCGTGCCAGTCCGTGCGTGTACTTTGCCTAATAATATTTCCTCACGGCGAGGAGAGCGCACGGCGAGTAACGCGCACGGGGTTCCAAAAGAACAAGAGAGAAAGAACGAAGGAGATAGATACAGAGAAAGAGAGAGAGAGAGAGAGAGAGAGAGAGAGAGTGAGAGAGAGAAAGAGAGAGTGTGTGTGAGAGAGAGATAGAGAGAAAGAGATAGATAGAGAAAGAGAGAGATAGAGGAATAGAGAGAGAGAGAGAGAGAGAAAGAGAGTTAGAGATAGAAATAGATATATAGAAGTCAGAGTCTGCGTTAACTTTTCTCTCATGTATTCTCTCTACGAAACTTAACAACTTCACGTCCTTCCATATTACCAACATTTTTACTTCACTTATTTAAACGCGAAAATAAGGTGACTCGATCAGAAGGACACGTGCGTTTCTATCGTGCGGATCCTCCGTCGCGTTACGATCCTTTCCGGAACTTTTCGAATTAACGAACGGGATAAAGAGAGAGAGAGAGAGAGAGACAGAGAGAGTGAGAGAGAAAGAGAGAGAGAGAGAGAGAGAGAAAGAGAAAGAGAACCAGAGAAAAAGAGGGTTTCTGTTTTGGATTATACTTATTCTCTATTCTCTGAGGGTTAACAAACTTGAAGTTTAGAAAAAAAGGGGCGGAAAAGAAGGAGATCGAGCGTGTAAACGATCAGCTTATATCTTTATTGAGATTATATCTTTCGTGAGAAAATAAATAAACAGAAAGAAAAAGAGAGTGAGAGAGAGAGAGAGAGAGAGAAAGAGAAAGAGAGAGAAAGAGAGAGAGAGAGAAAGATTGATTCGATAGATAAATCGACGATTGTGCGCGTAAATTTTGTTTTTGTTTCGTTCGTAATTACCATTGACATTATCGTGATCAACATTTACTCTCGATTACGACGGCAAAGTAATTAATAATAATCAGTGTAATCGCGTGTGTATACTTTATAAAAGAAGATACTGTGACAAAACGCTTGGCAAAGGATAGATGGATCATCGTAGATCATCGTAGATCATCGTGTAAGAAGAATAATATAATTAGGGAGATAACGAAGAAGGGAAGGTAAATATATCTATTCAGGGATACTTAATTACATAAAAGGAGTCGTTTTACTTGACAACTCGAAAGAGGAATATCTAGAGAAGAAGAAGAAGAAGAAGAAGAAGAAGAAGAAGAAGAAGAGGACACCGTCGGCCGTCGGCAGAAAGAAGAAAGAAAAAGTGAACGAGAGAGACACTGTACGAGAAAGAAAGAAAGAGACAGAGACAGAGAGAGAGAGAGAGAGAGAGAGAGAGAGACAGAGAGAGAAAGAGAAAGAGAGAGATCGAACGACAGAAGAGAAGGAAAGAGAAACAGAGAAAGCAAAGAAGAGAAAGAGAGAGAGAGAGAGAGAGAGAGAGAGAGAGAGTGATATCTTGGTACGTGATCACGTGCTTTATGCTTTGATCTCTTCCGCGAATATACTTGCTCTGTGGTTTTGAGGTTTTACACTATTCCACTCTTTCAGTTTTCACGAGTGTTACGTTTTTCTATTTTTCTTTCTTTTCCTTTTTTCTGTTTTTTTTTGTTTGTTTGTTTTTTTTTTTTTTCTTTGTTAATTAATTTCTTTCATTCTTCCTTACCACTCCCCCGACTACTACTAAGTTTCTCTTCACCTTAGATAAGATTTCTACTTTCAAATTGATTATCGATAACAACGTGTGTATGTGCATATATAAAATTTAAAACAGATATATATATATATATATATATATATATATATATATACATTTCGCGAAGTATATGTTAAATGGAAATAATACAAAGTATTAGATAACTGTGTGTTTCGATGAAGTTTCGTAAAGATTTGAATTTAACGCGATAATAATATGTAAATATTTGCGGTATCGAGCATGCGT